TCCAGGACATGAACCGCGGTCGACTACATGGGAGTCCAGCGACATAGCCATTACGCTAACTGCTGGTTCCCAAGATCCTTTTAATATTGAGATGATACAGTAATGATGAAAGAATGTGGTTGGCAACCTGCAATCCACTATCCAAATATTTGCTATAATTTTATTATTACTAATGTATTAATAAAAGAGGAAATATATAAACATACTTACTGTGACTTGATAAATAATCATGTTGGCTATAAGAAACAGATCCCAAGTTGTTTTGTGAACATGTTATAAAACAAACAAAACCAGTGCATACTTTACAACTATGTACATCATCTCAGTAGCCCCTTGGCTCGAAAAAATTGATTTTACCATAATAAAATTTACTTCAAGTAAGCCCTCATTTATATTCAGACTCCAGGAAACCAGAACTAATCCATGCCACATAAGATACTAAAAGCTCAGAGAGCTCTGAGGCCCAGCAATATTCTTGAGTGCCTTCCGAAGCCCCACTTGAAATGACACGATATTCTATCCAAAGCAATTTCTTATATCCTGCTTCACTGGAGTCAGTAATCATTAGTTTTTATTTTTCAAACTACTCAGCTAATCAAAACATGCTAGTCCCTTTTCTCTGGGTGAGGAGGAATTATTGTCTGATGTATGAGAGTTTGTATTTAACCAAACCCACTTAAACAAGGCTTCCTTCCGGCTGTTCTTTCCTATTGGGTCTACAGATCGGAGAGGCCATCAGAAAAGGTTACAAGAATGACTTGTTTCTTCACTACATCTTCATGGACAATGCCTTTGAGCTCCCCACTGGAGTTGGGTTGCAACTGCAAGTGTCTTCATCTGGAGTCATCACTCCAGGAACCAAGGCAGGAGTGAAGCTGGAAGTAGGCAATGTAAGACTCTGTTTACCCTTTGATTCCTTTAAGTTGTTCTTTTCTTCCAAGGTGGGTTTCTCATTCACATATATTTTTTAAGCCAGAGGACATGTATGGGCACATATGTGTAAATGCACAAGAAAGAGAAAGAGAAAAAGAGGGAAAGCAACCCCCAACAGGGCCTAGTCACTCCATAGACCTATTTCCTCCAATTCTCGATCACATCAGAATCCCACACATGCTCATTCTGGTGTTTCTTGTTTTAATTTTTAATTTATTTTATACATTCAATCACTATACTTCTCTTAGCTTGCAAAGCGAAATTACCCAACATGAATACACCTCATACCCATCCAGTCGAGGATACTATACACATTATCATCAGCTTGAATCCTGATCAGCCATAGGGGATTTGGCCTCATCGAGGCAGTGCTTAACTGCTATCCAAGGAGCCAGCCCTCTCATGTGTTCTCTTGTTTGTTTTTAGTGTCAGAGGTTATATGTACTCACAAGAGAAAGCAGGCATATCCCACACACACACAGTGGGGCATGGTCACACTACAGTCCCTTCCCCTCCATATCTCCATCCCATTGACATCTGGGGCATGCAGGCATACATGCTGGCTTATTTGTCAAGTCGCCGTGGCTGGGATTCAACTTGCAGTTGGCTGTGTAGAATCTAGTGTCTCATGCACAGGGCTTAACTGCTGTACCACGGGAACAGCCCTCATGCACACTTTTCAAATGCGTTTCTAGTTCAAGACAGAGTGTATCATTGTTGTTATTAACTCATCAAGTTTTCTGAAAATCTTCAGGGTTCCATCCCAATGCATATACACCTCCTTAGCTCCTTAGTTGGGAATATGACAGTAAAAGAAGAATTCAAATGTTCTTTTAATAAATGAGTGTCTCTATCACCTTGTTATCTGTTATGCTTGAACGTATACTCAGATATTTCCTAGACCTGGGTAGTGTAGTCTGGCTTTGGGGAACTGAGAACTTGGTTTAGCTTCCCCCAAACAAATCATAGTAATGTTTCCTGAAGGGTCAATTATCCAGAGGTTTTTGTCCAAAGATGGTTGATCTGACTGCCAGGGGAGTGAGGTATTTGATGAAACTGAATGCATGGTTTTCTGACTTAAAGATGCAGGCTGAACTGGTCGTAAAGCCTTCTGTGTCTGTGGAGTTTGTGACCAACATGGGCATCGTCATCCCAGACTTCTCTAAGAGCGGAGTTCAGATGAACACCAACTTCTTCCATGAGTCAGGCATGGAGGCACGTGTTGCCCTGAAAGCTGGGCAGCTGAAGTTCATCATTCCTTCTCCAAAGAGACCAGTGAAGCTATTCAGTGGCAGGGAATTTTTTTCAGCCACATCTGGCCAGCCACCTTTAAAGAG